CTTTTAAATTCTGTCGCACCCTTTCTTGAATCATTGCACCCCTACTTGAATCATCACTTCTTCCGACATCATGGGGGGGGGCTGCCGCCCCCCCCCAACCCCCCCGCTACGTTTTAGATTTTCTACAGAGATTTATTTGCACCCCTAGTTGAATCATCAATTCTTCGAACATCATTGGGGGGGCTGCCTGAATTGCACCCCTATTCGAATCATCACTTCTGCGAACATCATGGGCCCCCCCCTAACCCCTCGCTACTTTTTACATTGTTCTTTTAACATATTTGAATCATGATTTGTTTGACCCCGTCAACCCGCCAGCTACTTTTTCGATTTTGTTACCCACGATTTGTTGGTGATGCCAGCGATGTTGGTCGGACATGCGGGGGATGTTGAAAACGAGGCTGGTGATGTTGACGGGCTAATGTAAAATGCGCCAATTTCGCGAGAAAATGCTGTAAAATACGACATATTACGAAAAACGAGAAAAAACAAAAACAATCCAAAAAAATCCCAAAATAAATGCGAACCCGTTTGGAATGGTAGCCTGCTGCAGAATCCTGCAAGGCCTTTTTGAAAGGGACCTCAGTCGGTTGTGTTCTCAGGTACAAGGATGGGGACTACCGGGGCGCCTTGCAGCATTACCGCGCAGCTCTGGACTGGAAGGGGGAAGGTTGGATTTGGGCAAGAGCAGCCAATGTCAATTCGCCATCGTCCATTGCTTTCTGGGTTTTCCCGACACAGGCCAGCAGTCCAATCGTCCCTTGCAGAAGAGCCTCTTCCCCATCCCGCTTGGAGTTTGTCTGCCCTGTTCAACGTTACTGGACCATTCCAACAATGATACCTTCCCACAGTAAAACTGTTCAGAGTTTATTGTATGGTTATTCATGTTTGGTTTTGACCGTCTCCAGGCTTACTTCTTCCTGATTTTTGCCAGTTCTGCTTGGCCTTGTCTTTCAGGTGCTCCGGTCGCCACCTTCTGACCCTCGGCAGGACCTTGTGCCCAAAGAGGACAGCGGATTCAAGGCACAGCTGCTGGGCAACGTGGCGGCGGCGCCGGGGCCCTCGGGCAGTTTGCCATCCGGGGTTGCTGATGATCAATACCCCAAAACGGCGGGTTCCAAACAGAAGCAGAAAGGACTCCGTGAAGTTGAAATCAACCATGTAGGATTCCCACGAGGGCTTGAGAGCCCCTGAATTGGTTGTGTCAGCACAGGAGTTGGACTACTCACACTCTCTTTTGGATTGTCTGTATGGGGACGGTTGTCTCTCAACCTGAGAGCATAGTTGTGGGACGTGAAACTTTTCTTTTAAAGTGACAAAGTAGAGTACCACAGAAAGGCTATATTCTGCAAGCACTGAGAACGATCGTGCGAGCTTGCATTGTGGGATGCAAGGCAGCGCCATTTCTCCTACAACAAAAGGCTTCACAAGACGGATGTGAACTTGGGAATACACATCCCTTGCCTTGCGTTTACCAAGCCGTTTTGGTATGCCGGCAACGTGGCACCTGGAAGCTTGGAAGGGCAGACCCGTACAGCGTCTTATCAAGTTTGAACTAGCTGCTGGAACGGAGGGGAGGTCCGTAAGCATTCAAGTGTTGTGAATCGCGTGTCAAGGTGCCTCATGCTCAAGCGCGCCACGGAATGTGCTGATGCTTGCACTGAGTCGCTGGTCGCAGCCTCAGCTACATGTGCCGAGCTTCGGTTTGTGTGCCTTGTGTGCCTCAAGCTATCTGCTCCCGCTTCCCTTTGCCAGCTTGTATCGCTTCCTTCCGCCCAGAAAGGGAGTGGGCACATTTGTGTGGTTTTGGGTTTTGGCTGTTCAGCATGGGCAGGCACTCGACCCCTCCAACTCGAAAGTGCGAGCGCGGCTGGCCACTGCTCAGGCTTGATGGTTTGATATGAGACGAGTCTCGCCTCTCCACAATTTCCTACTTTAGGGTGCTTTGTAGCTTGCTCTGCCCAACCGAGAAAGTGCAGGGCATTTGCCGCGATCCACGGTGCGCGATGTTTTGCAGCCTTCACGTGGTTGCAACCTGCACGCAGGTCGCGCGCGGGGACTTTCAGATGGCACGGTCAACTCTTGGCGAGGCAGCTTGCCGCCGGCCTTTCCTGCATCGATCGGATCGCCTGTCCAGGGGTGTGGTTTGCTCTTTCGCTTAGGGGCACGGGAAAGAGTTTGGTAATGATCAAATCTTTTCCGTGAGCTCATGGGAAGCAGGTTGTACTGCATCAAAGTCTTGACTAGGTGGGCGAGGACCCTGCCTTGGCCAACGCCCTGAAGCAAATTGGTCAGGGACTCAGAGAACCGTGCTAAACATGTGGCCGGCCAGGTTTTGTTGATCTTTCCAAGTCGTTTGCACAGAATGAAGCAGGCGCAATCCAAAGGGAGGATACAGTTCATTCGCAATGTCGGCTGCTTTATGGGAGCCCTTCGCTCTTACAGGGAGTCAGCTCTCAAAGCCATTTCTTCGTTCGGCTAAGGCACCACCGAAGCCTCCTTGGCCGAGGCGGACGAGGTGCCCGCGTCTGCGTTGCCGTCGGCCCATCCGCGCACGCGTAAGGCCTCCAATGCCGAGCCGGCGAAGGCCAGAGAATGGAGCTTCCCATTGCCTTCCCATTGCCGATTCGACATCTGCATGCACATCTGCATGCACTGCATGCTCTGCATGCTCTGATCTCTTGACAGTCTTGACAGGCTTTGAACATGTACCTCCAACTGGAGTCAACAGCAGCGGGCTCAGAGATCCCAGAGATCAAGGATCCCAACATACCACTTCAGATATTTCCTGAAACTTGCGACCGACTGAGATCACATGGAACAAGTGCATTTGAGCAAATCAAGTTTATTGTGTTGCCTTCATGGCTCTCGTCGATATGTGTTTTTAGTAGAACCTTCAACTTGTCGATGGCGCTTTTTTTCCCTGGCCGCAGCGTAAATGAGCTTTTTTCGCATTTCAGCCCTTCATGAACGGCAGTCTGATTGGAGTGACAAGCAGAGCAAGCCATCATCTCGCGCATCGGGCTTGGCGAGTAAACACTCGCCATGGCCATCGGGTTTCGGAATTGGGTGCTCCCGCGAGCTTTGGCAACACTCGCCCGGCTTCTGGAAGATGGGCTCATAGCCCCACCCAATAGTGCACCAACAACAAAAGCTCAAAAGCAGGGGACATGAGCATAATCATGCTACAACTCGGCTCCACGCCCTTCCGGGCTACTGCACGTTCAGTCGTGAGGTCTTGTTCGACTTCCCCCCTCTGGCGCTGAAGCTGGCAAGATGCTATTTGGAGACTTTGGCTGAAGTTTAAAGTTTCATCGCAGCGCTCTGACAGTGCTCTGCCAGTGCTTTGAGGAAAAATCATCAAGTAGAATACGGTAGATGTTGTACGAGTGGCCAGCGTGGCGGAGGATAACGTTGCCAACTGCTTGGTTCCATCCTCGTAGGTAATTAGCTTCACTTGATGATTTGTTTGGATGAGCCTTGGATCCCGTCAGTGCTCATACGGCTGGTTTTGGCCGCTGAGGAGCTCAGGCAGTACCCTCGAGTGCTGTGGGGCTGCCATGTTGGATCCGACCGAGCGCCGCTTGAGCAGCTTCGGCGTTCGGCTGTTCAACGGCTGATTGATCCTATGTCAATTGGTACTGTATAGAACATTCTGCCCCCAACGGAAACAAATGTGACAGCCGTCAGAAAACCTAAATGCGCCAGCCGCGTTTGGGCACACTTGTCAAGCCAAGGTTGGGAACACAGCTTCACTGCGGTAATGAGGTCTAATGCAAGTAGCCCACTCAAAACATATTTTTTGATGTGCTTCCCAAATACAGGCAACACATGCCAATTGTGCCGCAAGTCAGTTGAGCCATGTTGACTCAGCGGGCACCTTTCCCAGCCTGTCAAGCTTCAACTAGCACCCCGGTGGCTGGTGGGATGTGCTGGAGGGGGGGGTTCTTTGGCTGGCGCGCGTGCCTGAATGGAGCCACAGCCATGCACTCAATCCTCGTTGTCAATGCATGTGAAATGCATCTAGTGGGACCAGCAAGTGGTATGGCTTACTCGTAAGATTCTGCTGGAGAGTCAGGAGGCTGGATCCCAAGAGCCTAATACAGTTCGTCATTGGAGTCGAGGGACCCCTCGAAGGACATGGGGCCGAGTTGAATTACTTCAAAAGTACAAAACTATATTTTTAAAGAAGTGCTAACTGCAATTCCAATGTCGTCAAGCAGCCAGGTCGTTATGCTGGTGCAATAGCCGACACATATTTTTTGTTGCTTCCGGCCATTTGCAAGCCCAGAACGTTGGTGGCAACTGGAGTATCCCTCAACGGACCGCTTGTACTTCCCCACCAAAATCAACATTAAGCACCTGCTCACTGCAACACAACGGCAGCCGCCCGTTGAGCTTCGCTGCCAGGAACACCACGCAGCAGGTCCTGCGGTCGAATCCCAGGAGCATTGAAGCCTTGCTGCTACGGTCACAGGCCATGGGATTCCCTGTTCGTCATGCAGTTGCATGGCACCTTGACAATTGAGCGCAAGGATCATGTTTTGTAGATGGCTTGACTCACCTCAAAATAATTCATCCGTGCTGCATTTGAATTTAGCCCACCTGCTTTCGTCCACGGGATGAATGGATATTTTCACCACACCATTGGAGCTGGCCCTCGAAACTGCTTGGCTTCCGTTCTGTTTCGCCTCAGACAGTTTCTAAAATGGGCCTTCAGTCTGAGGACAGCACCAGATGCACGGATCGCCTGCCGCGCTTTGGTTCGCAGTTCAACCCAAGTTCAAGATCGCAAATGGATGTCAGCAGGACTGGAACATGGCTCGGGCAAGTCTGTTTCAAGTTGAAGCTTGCAAAGAAAGCACCTGGTTGTTTCTAGAAGTTGCTTAGCACTTGGCACTTGCAACAGCTGCCACATCGAGCGACATCTTCCTGCCAGCTTGAAAGCTGATCACAATAGCGGATCGCCTTCGTACATTGTTTTTGCAACAAGCGGTGAGCCGACGCCGTCAACACATTGTCCCGGCTGAATACCCTGCCTTGGCCTCATGGACAGAGAATGGATCAGCCCTTTCTGCCGCTGCCGAACGGCTACTACGACACACAGCGTCGCTGCAAGAGGGCATACTCTTTGATCGACCCAGGATCGTGAAGTGCTCAGCATGGTTCGGCTCGGATGCAGACGACCAATGCGGGTTCCAAGCCTTGCCACAGCTGAGGTTCAATTATCGATGCAAAAAATGTGTAAGGGCGAAGCTGGGCTTACATTGCAGCTGTTTTCAGCCAGTCTGACATTTGTGCATGCTGCCATGGCTCACAAAGCATGTTGAGCGAAACTCAGGATTGCGGACCCTAATGCACATTTGGGACTTTGTACAGCTTGCCCGGCTCTGAGCGAGCTGCATGGACCTTCAAGAGCCTTTTGGGGCTAGGTGCCGAGGAGACGGCGGACAAGTGGTGCCAATACTGCAGCTTGGCCTTGTGGGTTGCTTTTTCCTCGCGGATTGCGGATTTTTTTTGAGTCGAGGCCGCAGAAAGCTCGACCACAGCCAGGAGCAGTGGGGCACGGGGCTCTGCGAGCGGTGCGTCAACAGGCTGCCGCAGCTCGGATGGAGCTGAAATGACCCGGCCCGGGTGGCTCTCGCCATTTCAGGGGGATTCCTCGACTGGTTCGGTCTTTCGGATTCATCCGAAGTCGGCTGAGAAACTAGAACCAGGGAGAATCCTACAGAGTGCAGGATTTCCTTTTGCCTCACTGTGAGGGATTGACATAGATTTGCAGCAGGTAATGCACTGCCACAGGCATCCACCAGTGGCGTTCGGAAGATCTGCCAGGGGCAGAACTCCATTCAGGTTCTAGATATCAGCGCAATTAGGAATCTGTTTCTACCATAGCTTGGGTCCCACGCTTGGCCTTGCGTGCAAGGCAATGCAAAGGCTGCGCTCGAAGGCTCAAAGTGAGCCACAGCTGCATTTGGGAGCTGTGTTGAGAACCTCCACGCTTGCAAATCAGTCTGCCAGGTTTCGCCTGTGTTTAAGACCGGCATGTGGCAGTCAAGCCATGCAAGGGTGGCGCTCAAGACACCCGAGTCAGACTTGCAACATGTGCGAATCTTGCGCGAGAGCGAGGACTGAGATGAAGTTCAAGACTGGTCTTTGTGCCTTGGTTCAGCAACTTCGCTTTGTCGATCAAAAGGCGATCATGAAGCAACTTCTCGGCAAGCTTGGTCTGACCTTTGGAAAGGTGATCAGTGCTGGGCATCTTGCAAAAAGTCGTGCCTGGTATGCCACGAGAGCCTCGGCTGAGTATGAGCTTGCCCGCGTGACACGAAGGAGGCGTTCTGGTGCTACTTCATTGCGTAGCCGGTACACTCTTTGTAAGTCATACACAGAAAGCTTGGCGGGCATAGGGGTTGGGACACGAATCGCACCAGGAAAATATCTCTCGGCGAGCCACTTGGTTGCATTGAAGTTTGCTCGCACGCCACCAACAGCAGATGATGGAGATTCAGATCAGCCACTACCACTGGTGTTCCGCATTGTAGTGACTTTTCGTGGCTGGGGTCAGGGTCTACTATTTGTTCTCAGGCTGTTCCATAAAGCAGAAGACAGCAGACAACCTCATATTGCACACCAGATGCAATGGTTGGTAAAGATTGGCTTTAGTTATAATATATTGTATACTGGACTACCACAACATACAGACCATTAGAAATGCTTGAGAGCGCATTTCAGCAGCAATTCCATACCCAACTGGGACTGTCTCAACATAAGCACGACTCCTCCAATACCAACCACCAAACGTGTTCCCCACCTGAAACATACCCAGTTATGTTTTTTTCACCAGGGTTCCACGAGGGTTCCACGAGGGTTCCACGAGGTTCTGCGAGGTTCTGCATGCTGTTGGGGATATCACCTGAGCCTATTTTTGAAGGGGATTGGCTGTGCAAGATGTGCTTGGCACTTGTCTTAGGTCAGGCTGGAAGACTGCAATGTGCGCAAAGTGTTCGAGTGGACACGAGGCGTGCGCTGTGGGCCCGCACGATGATCAATTGCATTCATTCGGTTAAATGCTTGTGCTGTGAGGTGAAATGCAAGAAATGTGCCTTTGGCTTGGTAGGTGGATGCGGGTCAGAGGGGATGCAGACCTTTTACTTGTTGTGGCTCACTGAGGGGCTGAGTTGAGGTGCTGAGCTTGTGGTGCATGGACTGAAGCAGATCTGAGGTTCCAACGCCATTTCTCTAGAAGAGATTGGCTGGAGAACAGGACTGCCGAGTTGGCCTTACTGTTTTGGCATGATCTGCACCTGGTTTCTCCTGGTCAGGAATTTGCAATCGATGTTACGACAACATCGGGGGTTGCAGATCGGCAGTGTCGTCGAAGCGGCCACATATCAGATGCTTGGCGATTTGCGCTTGGGTCGAGCAAGCGGTGCTTGGCACTGCTAGCAATCGAGCCGGACAGCCTCCAACCATTTTTGCCCGGAGGAAATAGGGCATTGAGGTTGATATGGATGGCCATGACTGTTAGAAGGATGCCTACGAAACCGCATGCAGAGGATTCCGTTCTGCAAGCGACTCAGAGCCAGCTACCAATAGGGTGCGGGGATGCAAGGCCAGTTCACAGTGAAAGAAAGGGGTGAACAGTTTTTCCTTCAATGGCCATGTGCCCTGAAGATTACCCTTTGTAGCTACTTGCGTTCATTTGTTCGGTTGTTACTTCTCAAGGCACATTGACATCTTTGGACATGCTCCGAGCAGATCTTTATTCTTTGCGAGCCAACGCTCTGTCCCATCAGATCTGTGCGAGCCCAGGACTGTGCGACCCCTGCTACAAGCGGTACAATACCATTTGCGTGCGCTGCAACCAGCACATTCCGGTGGATGAGCTGCTTCTTGACATAGGTTGTGTGTGGGATAGTTCTCTCTCTCTCTCTCTTTGTGTATCTCTCTCGCTCAGCAACTGAGGAGATACACCTCAGGGCTGTGCGACTTCTGCTACAAGGCCCCGATCGGAGCACTTCAGGGGAGTTCTTTGTGAGGCGAACCTCTTTTAGTCTTCAACCCAGGCCCGGACATTTGCTTCCCATCCTGATGTGAGTTTGTTTCAAGAACGCAAGCCATTTTGAGAGTCTGAAGAGAAATTGTTCTAACATCATGGAGATGCAGCGGGCTGCGGCTCTGGAAACCGGCCGGCAGGACTGTGACAAGAAGTGCAGTAGCATCCCGGCTATCGGGTTGGTCTCGGGCGGTCTCTTTGGTTTGGAGTTGGAATGTAGGAGCTGAGATGTCGCGCTTTGGCCCTGGCTGCGGCAAACAAGATGTTGGGGCTCTCCAAAACGTTGGCAACCTCAGGCCACTGGGAGCACAGAAAACAAAGGGGCAACAAGACCGGGAGGCCACAAGCCGAAAGGCTGAGCCCAGGTTGCAGCAAGAAGATCCCTTTGAAGCAGCTGCGCTGGGGATCTGGGCTTTGTGACTCTTGCTACAACAAGTCCAGCCGCTTGGTTTGCTTTTTCCCGGCAGCTTGCAGTTCTGTTCACGGGTCTCGCAGGCGTGTCCAAGCCGGGCCACATGAGCTCATGTTGCATTGGCGGATGCCAGCGGCAGAGCCATGCAATGAACACGTGCATATCCAAGGAATGGCCTGCTGCATGTGCAGCACCGAGATCAGCTGCTTGATTCAAAGTTCTGGCAGAGCCTTCGAAGGTGGAAGGACTTCGCAAAGTCGTTGTTCATTTTTGATGCCTGTTCGATGCAGCATGCAACTTGGACTAGCTTGATGCCAGCTCCACAGTCAGCGTTGTTTTGCTGCGAAGCACCTCTCTTCTGTCAGTTTTACTAGAGAGGCTGTGGCAACACGTGTCCAGGACTGACCTAAAAGGATCACTAATCACTTCTTCGGCCATAGAATGGCGAGCCGTATCCTCTATCCGTTTGCATTTTGTCCCCTCTGGGCTCAGGTACGGAGCAGGCCTGGTTGCGAGACGGCCATTCATGCCCTGTGTGGGTTTCAGTTTTGCCATCCAATAGTCCAACTTTTTGGGACGCCCTCTGCCCTGCAGACCGAGTATCACGGCGTGCGCTTGTGTGACTTGGACGCCTTTAGCGTGCGGCGGTGGGAGTGGCATGCAGGATACGCAGCAGATCCGAAGCAGAAATCTTGGCAGGCCTCCCCCACATGCCAACTCAAAAGGCGAACAAGCACCGTACGCAAGCACCATCAGCATGTGTGCCATGGTCAAACCCTCTGCTTGGGGTTACCAGGGATGATCATCCACCTGGTAGTAAATATCCTTAAGAACCATTGTAGTGATTCCTATTGAGGAAACCGACCATAGGCCGTATAAGAAGCTTTGACCATGGCATGGCTTGGCACCTCAGGTAGTGATTGCTTCAAGTTGCTGACAGGCCAGTTCTGCGGTTCTTGCTGATCCATGGCAGTCAGGGTCCCATATGATTCGCTGAGTTCGACGCTGTTTAGAATTTAGGCCAAAGACCACTGCATGCGGAAGAGGGTGTTGCTCTCAATCTGACCACATTTGCCCCTGGCAGATGCCGAGAAGACATGCTTCTTCTGCAACAACAACAAACTTCTAGTGGGCGTTCCTCTGCAGCAAGGGACCTTGATATGCGCATCGCTGATGGCATTGCGAGTTGCTTTCTTTCGCCAAGGA